TTTTTTTTTTTTTTTTTTTTTTTGACATGGGGAACAGAAATATTCCTTTGCCAGATACCATCGTATACTGCTCTGTGTTTATTACCAGTCCAACTTTTTGGGAAACAAATTTGAATTAACTTCTGTTTTTTTTCTTGAAGATGTAATTTATTATCTGGCTTCAAAACAACGATGCAGAAATTTATCAAGATGCAGAGCCACTAGGAAGCTGAATCACTGAACCCGTGCAAAAATAAAAAGCTAGCTTATTTATACCTTATTTCTGTCAAGGCATAAAAAGGAAAAACAAACCCCAACGCAAACCTTAATTCAAAGCCTGCCTCCGTTAGGTTGTATTTACTGAACGCTGCTGGATTCTGAGAAATTTGGAGAGTCCATGACATAGGAAGAAACTGACACCTATTGGCAACTTTCATATTACTGCATAAGGATATTTCTTCTCAAAGGAAGAGCTTCTAATAGCTGGATTTATTATTTTTTTAAATATACAGAAGTGAAGGCAGAAAATATTTTTGGTGTTGTAACTGAAGGTGCCAGGTGTGCCTTAAGGCAAGCATTTCCCCCCCCCTTTTTAATTTAAAGCTTGCTTTAATAAGGTTCCCTGTTTGAGGGCAAAACCACTTGCAGTGTACGTTATGATCCAGGAGAAGATTAGTAATACAGCATTTGAAGAGGCCATCCTTATGAACAATCACCAGCACTTTGGAGAAAGGATATGTCACTTCTGGGCCTAAATGACACCTAGCATTACATAGGCGTATGTTTAGTTTCGGGGCCAGATGAATTGTGTACCTTTATGAGCAATCTGCAAAGACAAATCAAGAGTAACAGCAGCAGAAATGTACAGTCTTTCCCTACAAGTCTATGAATTACTGAAATACAGAAGTTAGTACAGGAGAAACAGGGAGGGTGTGGAGGAACTGTTTCTGTATCAGTTAGGATTAACTATCAATAAATGGAAGAAAAGCAATTCTAAATGCACCCAGGTTACAGGAAGGAAGGGCCAGTAGCTAATAGCCTCAGTTGCTGACTCAGTAGGTGAAAGCACCTGGGGGTAGATGTGCTTATCTGTAGCACAATACAGCTGTGACCTGGTTAGACTTTCAGGGCTACTAAAATATTAAAAAAAAAAAAAAAAAATAATAATAATAATAATAATAGGGGACCCTCTCTCCTCCTCCAAGAAACCTGGAACCAAGGAGGGTGAAGAGCAAAATGTGGTGAGACCACTGGAATTACATACTTATTTTCAAGCAAAATCAGTTATGTATAAAAACTAGAGGTCGAAATGCAGAGTGCCAGTATGGAGGCACAGGGACCAGAATGATTCCCAAAAGATCCCATAACATATTATCAATACAAGGCACTCAACAACAGATGAGAATTATCTACAGTGACAATAAATTGCAAAGCTCCACAAATACACAGAGCAAAAGGAGCAGATTTTCTGAAGTGATGCAACACCTGCATCTCTAAAGAAATCCACTGGAAATTGTGGGTGCTTAGCACTTTTAGGGAAAGATAAGCTAGACCTGTCAAGGCTAATATTTCTTACAATTTCATATGTGACTTGCAATCCAATTTTATTGACAACCTGAAATCTGTTTTTATGTGACTACAACTAAATCGCTAGAGCAGAAAAACTGAAGTCAGGAATATACGTACTCGTGATGAAGAATTTTTTTGTGAACGTACAGCTGTCGAAGGCAGCAATTTTCTCTTGCAAGACTACGACAAGTATCCTGAAAACACAAAAATTAAATGCATATTTGAAACATGAAATGTATTGGTTTAAGATTCAATATCTAAACGTAACTGTTTCAAGAGCATAGTTTAAATTTCTGAGTAATAAACTGCCAGTTTTCCAATAACTGGCAATTATTAAAGGCCTCTCTCATCCCCACCACACAAACCTGCTCTTCAGGAAGTATACAAATATGATACAGAGTCACCCAGCACATGCAAGATACCTCCTGTAATAAAAGGTCCATTAGAAAAGAAAGAAAATGGAATTGTCCTCTGTGTTTCAAATCACAACAAAATCCCACAGATCAGCACAGACTAATCTAAAAGGAAGTGTGTTTTATCCTGGACATAATCCCATTGCCTATTTTATTGAAAATCTGACAAACTATCACTGGTTTCTTATTTACTAAAAGTGTTTTCCCCCATGTGAAACCACAGCACCATGGAATTAAAAATATGAGAGAAATAGGGTTTACATAATAAATCACTTAAAATGATTACTAGCATACTAAGTGCAAGGACAAAAAAAAAGTCAAAGGGGACAGCTATTGTCTGGTGACCTTGGACCATTGCAGGCCTTTATAACGCAGATGCCACCACAAATAGAAAGCATCTGCACTGGCAAAAATGAAAGCTGTCCAATGCTTTTGGACCTCTAAAACAAAGGGTAATACTTGGTATGTGGGTGCCTGTGTATACAGAGATGGAAACGAATACACTTTGGCATTCTCTGAATGTGTAGATCCGTGCATACACACTTCCAAAGCAGAGTATCAAATCATTACTTGAAACAAAACCACAAAACAAAAGCCACATAGCATACTGTATAGTCTATGAATCAATAGACATTATAAAAGGTGTAAGATTTTAAAAGCTTCAGAACTAAGTTCAGGCCATTTAAATACAAAGGGCTTCTAAAACCCTTTTCAAAGGCACAAATTAGCTTGTGAGGCTCTGCCAGCCCGAGTTGGTTAGCTTTCCTGCCCATCGTTAACTGCAATGCAACCTTTCGTCAAATGGAGCAACAGCTCTTTTAAAACTGGTTATTCCTTATTAGAAAAAAAGAGTGGGATATATTGTGGTTAGTATTTAACTGATGAAGGACATCACTACATGCATATGAAATTAACTTTTGTTCTAACAAGTTCCATTTTGAAATGTTTGTCCCATGAAGAATATAACTCATCTATGCTCAAACAGGCAACAAAGCTGAACTAGGAGATCGTGAAGCTTTGGAAAAAACAGCTGAATGGTAATAAGAGACCGTTCCACTCAATTTTGAGTGGAAGGAATTTCTGGACAGCCCATGTCTCAATCACTAAGAAATGTTTTATAGACTGACTGCCCGTTGGATCCAAGAGTAGGTATGTCAGAAGTAGGAAGAGATAGTATTTTAAAAAAACCCAATCAAAGTGCATCATCGCTATGGCTTCTATTCAAAGAGCTTTCCACAGCCCTCCCCCTGTTGGGTATGTTTTATTTTGGATCCACAAGCCGTCCTTCCAAGAGGATGTTTTCAAAGAGGATGGAGCAGACCGCTCTCAGTGGCAAATAACGGAACAAGGAGCAGTGGTCTCTCTCCTGAGGTCCCTTCCAACCCTAATTTGCTACAGTTCTTAAAAAAAATACACTGGACCTGACCTCAGATTTTTATGATCCACCAAAAGACCTTAAGAAGTCTGGATCCCATTAGGCTCCGTCACCTTTGGATCACTATGATGCCACTTGGTTCTCCATGCTAAAGCATGATGAAAACCGCTTTCAAATGGATGTTAGGACCAAAGAACTCGTGTATATTACTTACTGACTGCCTGGTTGTTCCTATATATTTCCTTTTCTACGACCAGAGAGAATTGCCTCAAACAAAACCAAACCCCAGCCCACCCTGCAAAAAAAAACAAAACAAAAAAAAAACTTTCAGAGGACCTGGCTGCTCTGTTCCTATGCAAAGGATCCAAAAACCTCCCACCCTGCTGCACGTGAAAACTTCTCCAGTGGCTATGGTTAGACTTATGCGCAGGTAAATCAGCAAAGACCCAAAAGAATCTCTTCACAGCAAATGACTAAGGTCCTTTCCTCTCCGAACAAGACTCCATAGTTGCATTGTGTCAGAGGCATTAAAAACAGCTTCCTTGACCAGACCCAAAAATAAAGGGGAAGACTGGGCTCTGCACCTGATCGGGATGTTGGAAAGAAAGCAACTGAGGGAGTGCTTTGGGCGAGGGCTTTCACACGCTTAGATTTACAGTGTACATTTCCACAGTGGTTACCTGCTTTGAAGCCAGTTCTATTGCCATAAGGCAGGACATGAAACCCAACATTAGGAATCTACATTGGTGGTATCACAAAAGGAAATGATCACTTAAGGAATAAGCAGTGCTGTTTTAGTAAAAAACCAAAACAAAACAAAACCCCTTTTTTTCCTCTCCCAATTTACAAATTGATAATATAACAGCAGTCAGCTTTGGGATGGAAATGAATACCTAATGCAAACAAAACTGAGTTCGAGTTAAACAAAACCTATTTCAACTGAAGTCGTAGGAGAGGAAAACAAAAGGAAGTTGCAAATTGTAAAGGTCACCAAGAAATTAGCCAGCTTAATATACAGATTTTAGTGTACAAAAACCTGTGCATATTGTTTTTTTATTTTAAACACACTCCATAATCTTTCTGTATGGATGGTGCCTAACAGGCTGTGGCTATTTTTTAAATGTCTATGCATGTATGGGTGTATACATACATACATACATACATAAATACATACATACATGGTATAGATTACCCTGATATCTATAAACAAATACTCATCTGTTCTTCTGCAACTGAAGTTTTGGGCTGCATTAGTCGGCTGCATGGCTAATATTTCATTACCACTCAACTTGGCCATTTTTAATGTATTTTCAATCTGAAATAGTGAACTTTCCTTGGATGACAGCAGAGCCTCATACATTCCAGTAAAACAGATACCCTGGTTACAGCCACGCAATTTTGAAGAAGCTCTTCCAATTTCACCACTTAGAAAAAGAAACATTAGCACCTGGAGAGACTTTTTGGTTGGAAGAGGCTTTGAATGATTTGCCTTTTGACTGTTTTTACAATTGGATTTTTCTGCCGCTAAAAAAGGCTTGCCTGGAAAGATTTACTATCATCACAGTGTACACAAGGGAACTTTAAATTTTTAAAGAGACAGTTGCAAAGATAAGTACTGAACTCATTCTGACAGACTGTTAAAGAAACAGTGACCTATTTTTTCCCCTTCTTTTCATTTCATCCTCTTAAATTCAGCTGTTATTGATATGGGCACACACTGTTCCACCGACATGGAAACTGGCTGTTGATAACAAACTTTAACCCACTCTGGGCACCTGTCTGTTATAAAATCAAAATATACTTGCCTCTCCCCGCACCTTTTCCTTTTAAGCAATCGGATTATGTAACTACTCAAATGTTCACTTGCTCTATATTCTAATGTTTCCTTCTACTATTTCTTCCAGGTCTATTTAGACACCAATATCTGGGGGAGGAGGGAGGGCACAGCAAAGCAGGGAAGGTTATCAGGCTAGATAAGCGTCTGCGTTTCAACAAAGCTGTACTGGATCTCAGATACTCCGCCATTTTTCCGTTAATAATTCTTTCATCACCTTGTGCCTTCAGACTCAATGTTCTTGGTGGGGTAGTTGGCTCCTCTCCTTTTCATGTCCCTTCCAGGTCATCTATTCCCATACAAAACACCCAAAATATATTTAACTTAAACTGCTGCAACTTGCTTGACTGTTTCTTTCTACAGCTCCTTCCACTTTGAAGGATCCCAAAGTGCATCACAAAAGTATATATAATCCTACTCAGTGAAAGGCAGCAATTTCTCTACGCTTAATTTTCTCCATCTTCAACATGGAAATGTGATCCTCTCTCTTTTATCAGTTACTCTGAAATACAGACACAGAGCGCAGTATAAGAGTAATAATAATCATTAAAGTGGAGAAGAATATTCATGTTGGAAGTACAGTCCTCCGAGTTGAGGACAGGAAATTTTGGTCAGAAAGCACTGCAGCAAACTCAAAAAACAGACAGACTGTCGGGTTGTTTGTTTCAGCCAAAAGACATAGCACACATAGTAATCCATCTCAAAAGTTATACGGTTGAATTAATGGAATTAACCCAGACGAGATCTGAATTTATCATTCCACGGGATCATGGGATCGGATGAGAAATCAGACAATGACTTGATTTGCTAATGTAGTTAATTCACTGAATGGCTCCGTGCCTCAGTTTCCTCATGTTTAAATAGAAAGATAAGGCCTCTTGAAGTATTTTGAACCTTAATTGATTCATATACGAAAAGTGCACTGATATTTTCAGGTGAAAGCAATTGTTTAAGTAGATCCGTCATATTTCAGGCTGAAATATTGCTTGACAGACAAAATTTAGGTTCTAGCTATGGTGGAACTGAGGTGTTTTTAGGATTTTAAAATATATGTCATGAAAACCAGTCAATGAATACAATTTTAAACATACATGATATTATAGCTGTGGCCCCCAGATTTGTTTTTAAAGCAGACAGGAAAGAGAAAGAGAGAACTGGGAAACTTCTTACCTTTTGTTACAATGCAGATCATAAATAGGAGTTTTGAACTGTATGGATTTGACCATCTCTCCCGTTCGCGAAGAGTAAAGGTCCACACAGCAATAAGGAGGACTTGTGCTGAAACAGGTCACAGAAGCAGATGTTTAGATATAGTATGCATTTTGACTTTTAACTTCTTATTTTTAAATATATTACAACCAGGCTATAAGTTAACCCTCTTCCTATCATTTCCAGGTCTGAACTATTAAAAAGCATGTGTCTGCTAGTCAGATGAGGCTTGACTGTCTTGGCTTTTGTAAAAAGTAGATACAATAAATATGCTGGAGATAAGCTGATGTGCAGATGAAAAACTATGACTAGATCTTAAGAGGAAATTGCAAGGGGAAATATTTAGTGCAATGATTTCGGATCTTTTTTAAGTAGAAAGTGAGCAATGCTAACCTACAGCCTTCAAATCTTACTACAATAGTGAATTTATACAACCTGAAGCATGAGTGTCCACGTAAAACTTCTCTATATTACTCTATGCAACCCTATAACACAGTTCTACTGCTCATGAACAACAGTGCAATCCATTTAGTCAAATTTCTGGTTACAGGCTAATGCATCTCTTAGAAGTATAAAAATGTATTCCAAACGCCTTAAAATATAAAACTACAAGCCTAGGGGCAGATCATTTCATCATAGCTAACTTTCCAGTTATGTAAAATGGTGCTAATTATAGTTAATATAACAGCTGTACGATTACATTGTAACTGCAGTACAATTAGAAACAAGTATTATAAAAAGTTAACCATCTTGTCACTGCTGTATTAAAAAAAAAAAAAAAAAAAAAAAAAAAA